GTTAACTGTTTTCGCTCCATGTCTGATTGGTATGAAGACCTAAAAAGGCAGAGGCTCCTTTGCAATGATTGGAGGTTCTTGGTGGACTAGTGAAGAGAAAAATTTTGGTATACGATACACTGAAAGGTAAAATGTCCATCTGCAATATGTTTTATGGTGCATATACAACATCAGGTACAAGGTTTACTTGAGGACACTTGGGGGTGGACTTGAGCTGTGATCTCTCTGGTGCATGGCAGTGTCAGACAAAGCCCTAAACATGGGTAGCTGTCGGCACTGCTTCACCTGTTTCATAGACGTAGGGGAGGCTGTTTTTGGGTCTTCTCACTAAATAAACCACATGACCAGCAATATCATCTTCTAGAGCAGGGGTCTCCAATCTAAGGGCCAGTTTACTGCCCTTCAAACTTTAGGGGGTCCAGACTGTCGCAGGCATCAGTGGGAGTGAACAGTGCCATAGGCTTGGTGTTCAGTAGGAGTAAAAAAAAATTACATAATTGGTGTCAGTAGGAGGAATGGTGCCCCATTATTATTGGTACTGGTGGGAGCAATTGTGCCTCATTGTTAGTGTCAGTGGGAGAGAGAGTACCCCATAATTGGTGTCAGTGGGAGAGAGAGTATCCTATAATTGCTGTCAGTGGGAGAGATAGTACCCCATAATTAGTGTCAGTGGAAGAATTAGTTCCCCATCTCTGGTGTCAGTGGGAGGAATAATACCCAATTATTGGTGTCAGTGGGAGGAATAGTGCCCCATCTTTCATGCCAGTGAAAGGAATAGTGCCCCAAGGGCCAGATAAAGGCAAGCAAAGGGCCACGTCTGGCCCACAGGCCACAGTTTGAAGACACCTGTGCTACAGCCACAAATCCCCTATGGACATTTAAGACTTCTGCATCCTGTGGGCGAGGCAAAACTTTTTATTTCCAGGAAAATGTTGGGGAAAATCCACAGATTTTGGCAAAAACATTGGAGTCGATCTAGTTTTATTTTATAATGCAATGGCTTTAACTGCTTGAGGCTTACATAAGCTTTTGGGGTTAATAAAATAGGCCCTATTATTTTACTTTTTTTTTTTAATGTAAGTAAAAGCAGAATGAAAAAAAAAGTGAAAGCGGAACTAATCCCTCCTATTCTTTACAGTCAAGGAAGGTGCCATTTTAGCCTCTGTTTGATCTGAAATTGCCATGTTGCTACGCACATGTCAAAACTACGACAACAACCATTTGAGGCCTTGACAGTTCAGCTGAGAACTAACACAAGCATGGTGGCAACTGTGACAGTTATGACTAGGAACAGGTCTTGAATGTTACAGGTTTGGGAAGTCCTTAAACTGATCGGTTTAGTTCTGCTTTGAATAAATGAAAAAAAAAATTAAAGCAACAGTACCCAACAATGAAATACACACAAAAAAATGAAGAAAACGTGCTTTGCTAGGTATACATTTATGATTTACATTCTAACTATGGTTACCTTAATAATCGTATGCAGCAGAATAATGAGTCCTCTACACTCTGTTTATTGTACCAAAGACTTTGTTGTAAAATGTTTCTAAATCTAATGAAAGAAAAAATAGGAAGGAAAGATCCTTTTCACCCAAATCACTTCGCTCATCACTAATGTGTAGGAAGTAACAATCTCTGTGAGCTTCTCACACCAGCCTATAGTTCTTTTGATGTTGGTCTGTAATGATTAGCCCTGTGCCTTTGCCATTTGCTGGTCATTACTCAGCAGTGTAGCTCTGGTCTCTGCAGTGCACAACTGCCCCAATCATGAAAGCTTAAGTAGAATGCTGGACATTCAGCCGGTGCTTAATCAACATATAAGTCTGTTCATGCCCTGGAATCAGGTCTAACTCTGTTATCTGTCTGACTTTACATACATAGGATTGCTCCTGTGATAGTTTGGCCTGTGTTTGTACTTAGTTGGTGTGTGATTATCCTTATCATCAGCTTTGTTATTGTCAGGCATTGCTCCTACCTACCTGTCTGGAACTTGACATAGTCCCCCACAGTAACTTCTTGGCCATAAGGCCTCGTTCACATCTGGTGTTTTAGCATCTCAGGCAGAATCTTAAATCATACCTCCCCCTTCCTTTAGATTGTAAGCTCCATGAGCAGGGCCCTCATATTCCTTCTGTACTGAAATGTAATTGTACTGTCTCCCTTATATTGTAAAGCGCTGAGCAAAGTGTTAGTGCTGTAGAAATCCTGTATAATAATAATAATCACACTGCAATGGTGGTAAAATGCATCATGCATGTGCCATTCATTTTTAATGGCACTGAAACACGATGTAATCTTGCCACACGATAAGTCACACTGCAGTCGCAGCAAACTGTGTCACGTGTAGCTTGTCACCCAAAAGAAACTCCTGCTCCTCTTTGGGTGACGAGTTCTCTGCGTTGCACTTTGTTGCAATTGCAGCACAATTTTTCACAGCAGAAAATGAATGGCATCCAAACATGTGGTGCACTTTGCAGTGCGATTTGAGATTGCCAACAAAATTGCAGTTACTCTGCCTGAGATCCCAAAATACCAGATGTGAATGGGGTCTAAGATGGCCTGAGTCTTCTGGCCTGAATGAAGCCCAGTAGGAAAACCCAGAAGATGAACATATACTGTCAGTACAGGGTTTCAAGGCCCTGCCCCCTTAAGGGGGTGCCTTACATTTACATTTTACTGGTACAGGGAGTGGAGCCAATATCAGCACCTCTCTCTCATTAAGAGAACCCAGAAGAGGTGAAGAGGACCCTTTGGCATCCCATGACCAGCCCAAAGTCTTTGTAAAAGGTGCATATAAGGAAGCATAAAATAATACTGCCACTGGCACCACATAGCGATGAGGGGTGATGTTTTTAGAATTTTTTATTCAAATTTAGTATCATTTGACATATACAAATTCACTATGGAATTTGTTTTAACAGATCTCCAGGAATGCATCTTCTGTGTGAACTATTCCCATAGGTCAACCTGGATTTTGGACTGTCTGGAGTGAAAAATGCATCCCACTGCTCTGGTATAAATGTGCCCCTAAAGTTGACTATTTTTCCAGTTATCCTGTTAAGTTATTTTTCTTTCCTGAGCCTCTACCCATTCCGATATGTCTAATAGCATGATGTACAGTAGAAGGCTGTGGTCAGCTAAACAGGCCAACCTAAATATCTCACTTTGTATCAGCACATGCTTTGGTGGCTCTCCTAAAAAAAAAAAGGAAATATAGATACTTGTTGAAGCATTGTTCACCAAACCCTGCACTGAAGAAGCCTGAGCACAAGAGTGAGAGCCAATATTAGTCTACATGGTGTAGAGTCAATCATTCTGTGCCTTACTCCTGCTTGTGGATTTTCCATAAGAATAGGTGGAAAAACTAGTCTTAGGCTGGTGACAATTTTAGCTCAGATGAAAAAAAAAAAACAATAGCTGTTCGGGAGGTGGGGATATTTCCTTCCTACATCTCAAGTCCAAAAGAAGCAGGGAACTGAACCCTGGCCACCCAAAACAAGGATGTTCCCTTAACATAACATTGCGTGTTAAAGGGAAATGTACCTTTTTAGTGCAATATTCCTTTAATAAATCCCCCACCACCTGACTGCTGCCCACCTTGGATAGTACTTGTCATCTTCCACAACCTTTCCTCTGACAAGGTCCTTGATGACTCCTCTTCATACTGCACATGCACGCTGCTGACCCATTTATTGCTATTGGTAGCTGTATTCATGACAGGGTCCAGCTTTCCGTCATTGCTTCCAGTATTGCTTCCCAGCAGAAAAGAAAATGGGGCTTTACCAAGCATGCGCAGTATGAAGATGAGGCTACTGGGACCTTGTCAGAGGAAAGAGGCTGGGAATAAGGTAAGTGTCTTGCCAGGTGCCATAAGAGAATCTGGGGGCTTTCCCTTCTGGCCCCTTCAATACTTCTGGATCTCAGACCTGCATGCATACATCAAATCAAGAATAATACGTCATTAAATATTAGTGATCATTCATACTAAAGCGATCCATTATGGTTCATTAATGCATGAGTGTCAATGCACATTTTTAAATGTGCAATGTGCATTGCATTATGGCAGCCCATTGATTATAAGTGGGTTGCCGATTCACCAAAACAGATTTACAAAAATGGGCATGACCCCTTTTACAAAACACAGTGCACCACAATGCATGGTATGTTCGTCGTCCTGCACTGTAATACATTGTGTGATGTACTCTACTGTAAAGTAGTTTGGGGGGCAATCCAGAATAATTCACCCTGCAACCCCCATAGAGCAGGTGCATTGACATGTGTTGTGGCAATGTGCATTAACGTATTGCTGCAACAGAATGTGAATGGGTTTCTACTATACGTTATGTACCTGAATTAAAATTGACTTTAGACTCCTTTAATCCCCTGTACACCACCATTCTGAGCCAATCATCTTTATAGTATTTGCATCTGCTGACTGGAATTATGCTGATAGGAAGAGAGGGTAGGGGGATTACCTCATCAGTTTGTTTCCACTCCTTCACTGTCCAATCACAGATCAGGATCAAGATCAGGTCACCAGCCTGCCATTGCAGTCCATCTAGGCCAGCCTTTCTTAACCATGCTTCCTCCAGAGGTTGCTAGGTGTTTCTTTAGAAGAGAACAATTTTTGCCTCTCAGTTATGTAACTATTGACACCTATAATCTTTTTAGCTATCTGTAAGGAGGGCTTCTTCCCAGTGATCACCAAGGTAAGGAGAATACTTCCTACTGACCACCAATGTAAGGAGAATACTTCCTACTGACCACCGATGTAAGGAGAATACTTCCTACTGACCACCGATGTAAGGAGCATTCTTCCCACTGACCACCGATGTAAGGAGCATTCTTCCCACTGACCACCGATGTAAGGAGCATTCTTCCCACTGACCAACAATATGAGGAGCATTCTTCCCACTGACCACCGATGTAAGGAGCATTCTTCCCACTGACCAACAATATGAGGAGCATTCTTCCCACTGACCACCGATGTAAGGAGCATTCTTCCCACTGACCACCGATGTGAGGGGCATTCTTCCCACTGACCTCCAATGTGAGGAGCATTCTTCCCACTGACCACCGATGTGAGGAGCATTCTTCCCACTGACCACCGATGTGAGGAGCATTCTTCCCACTGACCACCGATGTGAGGAGTATTCTTCCCACTACCCACCGATGTAAGGAGCATTCTTCCCACTGACCAACAATGTGAGGAGCATTCTTCCCACTGACCACCGACGTAAGGAGCATTCTTCCCACTGACCAACATTGAGGAGCATTCTTCCCACTGACCACCAATGTAAGGAGCATTTTTCCTACTGACCTCCAATGTAAAGAGCATTCTTCCCACCGACATCAATGTAAGGAGCATTCTTCCCACCGACCTCCAATGTAAGGAGCATTTTTCCCACCGACCTCCAATGTAAGGAGCATTCTTCCCACCGACCTCCAATGTAAGGAGCATTCTTCCCACCGACCTCCAATGTAAGGAGCATTATTCCCACCGGCCTCCAATGTAAGAAGCATTCTTCCCACCGGCCTCCAATGTAAGGAGCATTCTTCCCACCGACCATCAATGTAAGGAGCATTCTTCCCACCGACCATCAATGTAAGGAGCATTCTTCCCACCGGCCTCCAATGTAAGGAGCATTCTTCCCACCGACCATCAATGTAAGGAGCATTCTTCCCACCGACCATCAATGTAAGGAGCATTCTTCCCACTGACCATCATGCTAATGTACCTTCAGCTGTAGATCTAGTAATTAGTGGAAGGGGTTACCAATGGCTTGAAATTATTTCTAAGGTTTCTCTGTGTTCAAAAGGTTGGGAGGCTGATCTAGGCTGTGTAAATCGAAGGACCGTCTAACCAGAAATAAATCCTTTGGTAGTTAAAAACAGCTATCATATACAGTATGTTTTTCAATTTAGCGGTTTGCCTGGAGCCTAGCTTTACATGATGATTACGATAAAACTTTTGCAAGGTGTAATAAGAAAACCACCAGAGACAGAAGAAAAAAAAAGAGAACAGATACTCTTCTCAAGCACTTAGCGCAGCTGCCGCCCTCCTCTTCCTCTTCCTCCGCTCAGATATTTGTAAAGCAATACAGGAGCAATAATAATTATCAGCAAACTGTAGCGAAAAATCTAACTGAATGGCAGGAAACAACTTAATAACCGTCACATACCGAGCTATTGACAAGGAGACGGGACACGGCGTACTAAACATTGTCAGCCAGCGCCAGTCCCTGCCATTTAGAGGCGGACACCTGTGATCAACCAGCTTGAGGTTTATACAGAGAAAATTGTATCAAAAAATTGCTGCAGTCTTCCATTTTTAAAGAAGTTAGTTATCCAACCAGGGAAAAAAAAAAAAAAAAAAAGATCCCTCCGCCTTAAAATATCCCCCCTCAGCTGCTAACGAGCAAATCTTTGACATTATTTGAAACATCGCAATCGTCTAAATTATATGGCACTCATATGTAATACTAATCTTACAATAACGTGGAGGGTTAAAGGCTCAACACACAGCATGGGCCCCGGTGACTTGTGTAGAGGTGCCTACTGCTGTCTTTGTTCCACACACAATGCCGTACTGCTTGCTTGGCTGGCGGTGAGGTTGCAGAAACACAATCGCATTATGTATGTGCTATGGATTTTCAATTATGTCCTAACAGCTTTCATCCGCTGGCCATGGAGGGTCACCATCGCAGAAGGTACGCGTCCTAGTATTGCCTGCTCTTCTCAGGGCAAGACCCTGGGCTGATGAAAGACAACAGAAAAATGAATATTTATTCATAATCCTATAGATTCCCTTTAGAATGTGATCACCTTTTTTTGGATTATTGTCAGCTCAATGTGATGTAGAAGACCCAAGGACCTGATTGTATTGCTCTGCATCCTTCCTATTCATTCCTGTTATTGGCCTAGTAATCACAATGACATAAAATCAAAATGTAAAGCTAAACATCATTCTAACAACTCAGTATACAGTACACTTGGTAGCTATTTAACCTGCCCAAGGATTTGTATTTGTGTCCACACTGTCCTGAGATTTAGACAGCCCTACCATACAGACAGTTTTGTAAACTGATGTTTCTCTGCTGCAGTTTGACATGGACAAAGAAGGTGGCAAAAATAAGCCCCAAGTACAATCTTTAACAAACTCGTGCAGACTCCACCTCCGCAACATCGCCAAAATATACACGTTCCTAACCCCAGAAACCACTAAACAGCTCATCCACTCCCTCATCATATCACGACTCGACTACTGCAACTCCCTCCTCACTGGCCTGCCTCGCCGCTGGCTATCCCCGCTTCAGTCCATCCTGAATACGGCTGCCAGACTCGTTCACCTTTCCAACCGCTCGTTCTCCGCCACCCCCCTCTGCCAATCCCTTCACTGCCAATCCGCTTCCGATTGCGCAACGGATCAAATTCAAAATCCTAACACTGACGTACAAAGCTGTCCACCATACTGCCCCGAACTACATCACCGACCTAATATCCAAGTACCACCCAACACACGCACACTCCGCTCCTCACAAGACCTCCTTCTCTCTAGTTCCCTGGTCTCCTCCTCCCATGCCCGCCTCCAGGACTTCTCCAGGGTGTCACCCATCCTCTGGAACTCCCTGCCCCAACCCATCAGATTATCACCTACTCTCCTCTCCTTTAGGCGCACCCTGAAAACCCATCTCTTCAGGGAAGCCTACCCCACCCCCTGCTAACTTGCCGACCTCCTCCACTCTTCCTACCACTCCATCCCCCACAGCTATCTCCTCCTGTGCCACCATCCCCTCCCTCCTAGATTGTAAGCTCCAAAGAGCAGGGCCCTCGATCCCCTCATGTTTTGCATTGTATTGGTATTGTTCTGTCACGTGTTCTGTCCCCCTTTGTAATGTACAGCGCTGAGCGAACTATTGGCGCTTTATAAATACTGTATAATAATAATAATAATAAGTGGATGATCCATGTTTTTACTGCCCTCTAACCGCACATCTAAAATTAGACATGGTACCAGCTGGGGATAACAATTGCTACAGCTGCAATGCTTTGTATTGTGGTGCTGTATTGCACTACTTTAACTGGTAATTACGCGGTCATGCTAAACTGTACACAAACAAAATTTATATTTTTTATCACAGATAGAGCTTCCTTTTGGTGGTGTTTAATCACCACCGGGTTTTTAAAACCCAACATTTTTTACTTTCTGTTATAAAACATATCAAATAAAAAAATAAAAAAAAATTTCTTCATAAATGTAGGCCAAAATGTATTCTGCTACATGTCTTTGGTAAAAAAAAAAATCCCAATACTCGTATATTGATTGGTTTGTGTGAAATTTACATTTTTAAACTATGGAGTACAGTTAGGTCCATATATGTTTGGAACCAGGCACAATTTTCATACTTTTGGCTCTGTAGACTACCAGAAAAAATTTAAACGAAACAATCCAAATGAATTTGCAGCGCAGACTTTCAGCTTTGATTCAAGGGGTTGAACATAAGTATCAAGTACAAATTTTAGGAACTGCAGCCATTTTTATACACAGCTCCTCCTTTTTCAGGGGCTCAAATGTAATTGGACAATTGAATATAATCATAAATAAAATGTTCATTTGTAATATTTCATTGAGAATCCTTTACTGGCAATGACTGAATGAAGTCTGGAACCCATGGACTTTACCAAAGACTGGGTTTCCTCCTTTCTGATGCTTTGCCAGACTCTAACTGCAGCTGTCTTCAGTTGTTCTTTGTTTATGGGACTTTCTGTCTTTAGTTTTATTTATTACAGGCACTATAGTGCCGTCAATTTATGCAGCGCTTTACATGTATATATATTGTACATTCACATCAGTCCATAACCCTCAAGGGGCGTACAATCTAAGGTGTTTTGCCTTCAGCAAGTGAAATGCACGCTCAATTGGGTTGAGATCAGATGATTGACTCGACCATTGCAGAATATTCCACTTCTTTTCCTTCAAAAACTCCTGGGTTGCTTTTGCAGTGTGTTTTGGATCATTGTCCATCTGTACTGTGAAGCATTGTCCAATCAACTTTGCTGCATTTGGCTGAATCTGGGCTGACAGTATATCTCTAAACACTGCAGAATTCATCCGGCTGCTTCTGTCTTCTGTCACATCATCAATAAACACCAATGACCCAGTGCCCTTGGAAGCCATGCATGCCCATGCCATCACACTGCCTCCACCATGTTTTACAGGTGACGTTGTGTGCTTTGAATTATGAGCTGTTCCAAGCCTTCTCCACACTTTTTTCTTCCCATCATTCTGGTACAGATTAATCTTCGTTTCATCCATCCAAAGAATGCTTTACCAGAACTGGTCTGGCTTTTTTAGATGTTTTTTTAGCAAAGTCTAATCTGGCTTTTCTATTCTTCAGGCTTATGAATGGTTTGCACCTTGTGGTGAACCCTCTGTATTTGCTCTCGTGAAGTCTTCTCTTGATTGTAGACTTTGACAATGATACACCCACCTCCTGGAGAGTGTCCTTCACTTGAATGGATGCTGGGAATGGGTTTTTCTTTACCATAGAGAGGATCCTGCGATCATCCACCACTGTTGTCTTCCATGGACGTCCATGCCTTTTCATGTTGCTGAGCTCACCGGTGCGTTCTTCTTTCCTCAGAATGTACCAAACTGTTGATTTGGCCACTCCTAATGTTGCTGCTATCTCTCTGATGGATTTTTTTGTTTTTGAAGCCTTACAATGGCCTGTTTCACTTGCATGAACAGCTCCTTTCAACGCATAATGTAGGTTCACAGCAATAGATTCCAAGTTCAAATACCACACTTAGAATCAACCCCAGACCTTTTACCTGCTTAATTGATGAAGAAATAATGGAGTAGCCCACACCTGGCCATGAAACAGCTTTTGATTCAATTGTCCAATTACTTTTGGTCCCTTGAAAAAGGGGGGATGGCTACTCTTAAGAGCTGTAATTCCTAAACCATTCCTTCAATTTGGATGTACATACCCTCAAATTAAACCCGAGAGTGTGCACTTTCAGCCCATATCCAATATATAACTATAGCTTGAATATGGTTTGGTAAATACATGAAAAAAACTAAAATTGTGCCTGTGTCCAAATATATATGGACCTAACTGTATGTACTGGATTTTTTTTTTTTTTTTAATACTACTAATGGCGGTGATCAGCGACTTTGAGTAGGACTGTGAAAGTGTGACAGGCAATCTGACCCTAAGTCTCCATGTACACTGCAGCTGATAAACTCACGTTCAGGAGGTTTTCTGTGGGTTTTTTTTTTAGCAGTCCCTGAACTCTCCCTAATGTTTTCCTATGTGTCCATGTACACATAGTCATTTACAGGCAGTTGTTTACAGTCATTTTTTTGTAATGCAGCAAAATTGCATTCAGGAGTAGATTTTACCGGCGTTTCAAACGCTTGTTTGATCGCGTTTATAAGCGTTTGCGTTTATAAGCGGTTTTTGACTGGTCCATATCTAGGGCACGATTCACTAGGTAGGATACCGCAGAGCATTTTAAAAAAAAAACTCCATTTGAATCCACTAAAAAAGGCTACTAAAATATAGTACTTCATGAGTTATTTTATAAAGTCATGAGGTATTTTAGTAGTAAAAAGCATGCATTAATATTTCAGCTGTCAGAGGGGTTCCCACTGACAGCTGAATGTAAAAGA